ACACACACACACACACACACACACACACACACACACACACACACACAAAGCAACAACTTGGACTAATAATAATAATAATTACTATAATGAATAATGGCCTTGTGTTCCTTGAATGAATGTCTCTCACTCACAACATTTCTTGCCAGAGTTTTAGACTAAGATCAGGGTGGCTGTGGCAGAGTGGTTAGGGGAGTCTTCCTGTAACCGGTAAGTTGCCGACTCAATCCTCTGTCTCAGTCGTTGTGTCCTTGGGCATGACACTTCACCCACCTTGCCTGTTATTTATTTATTTTTCATATTTTCCAGGCAAATGAATCCTGAAACGGAGGTTAGCCTCCTCCGCCCTCCCGTCCCCCATTTTGTTGTGAAAGAGAATAAACATCTGAGAACCGCTGGAGAAAACCTCNCATGTAACATCGCCAGCACTAGTTGATAACAGAATAATCACAACTTTCCCGATATTAGACATCCTGGGAGGTGTGGTCCCTCCCAACGAATTTGCGACTTGTACTTCCTGTTTCATACAGGCATGCGTCAGACGTAATGACACTTTGCGTAGCCTGGCTGATTCGCTTGAATTAAAAGAAAAATTCATGTATCTGCATTGTGATCCGGAACATCAACAAAATTTAAAGGTGTGTTCCTTTGGCCAATACACACATGTGGTAAAAATTTCATGACAATCCATGCACAAGTTTTCGAGTAACTTTGTCCACAGACAGACAGACAGACAGACAGACAGGCAGGCAGACAGGGTCTTACTCACAGCCAATCCTGAACTACTCCACCTCTCTGTGGGTCAGTACTTTTGGTTTGTACTGAGCAAATACGGTTATTTTCTGAAGAGTCTAAAATTGATCTATGAGACATCGTCCTGTTTCACCTTCATCKGTTGGTTAAAGTGGAGAGAGCCTGTTGAGAAAGAGAAGAATAACCTGTTCCTCCCACTCACCTCCACCTAACTTCAAAAAACGTTGCAAACATTTCAGAAGAAATCGTCTGTGTGCTTCAGTTAAATGGAGCTCCATTTTCAAGTCATGATGCCAGAACTTCAGCTCTGACAAACAACTCTTCACTGAAACTGAAAAACTGAACTCAGACACACCGATCTGTGTTTCCTGTCAGCTCTTATGACTGGATTCATCACGTGACTGGAGGAACTGTGAGGAGAAACCAATCGGTGTTTACTGTGTTCTCCATCCAAACCCTTCTCCAATGCTCCCACAAACCACCTGCTGGTGTGAGTTCTGAAGTGAGGAGGCGTCCCGCCATCTCTTCTCCATCAGCCTGTTGTCTCTTTGCTCAACCATCCTCCTCTTTAAGAAGCAGGTCCACCCATTGCAGAGCATCATGGGAAGTCATTAGTCATTATTTTCTCTGCTGTCTCTTCCCACACGTAGCTGTCACTTGTCAGCTCTCTGCCCTGCCTGAGAAATGGTGAATTATGCCGGTGCCTCTCTCCCTGCAGGAGCTGCGACTGAAGCACCAACCAGAGAGCTGCTGCTTTGTGGATTACTCTTCCTGTTCTTTTCGCTGCAACCCTGTCAGTCCAGATTTAAACAACCAAAAACACCAGCTTCACCATATTGAGATAAAGCACCTGTTTTATATCAGCATTTCACAACCAGTCACCTGAGCTTAGTCTGAAAAAAAGGGAAAAAACWGTTTTCATTTGTTTCTTTCACGTGGTGCAGTGAAGAGATGCTCTTCAGTTTAGTGTGAATGCTGAGTCAGCTTTAACATTATTACTTTACTGTTTATAGTTTATTCATTAAACTTGGACTACTTTCAGGTCCATTAGGACATTAAGACGTTGATTCCTGTTTTCTTTAAGTCCTATATTTATAAATATAAATATTTAACTTTATTTACATAGCTTCTGTTTTGTTCATTTTAGCTTCTGTTCTGCTAATTTTGATTGATTTGATTTTTTTAACTTAAGCAGGATTATACAGATAATATTAAAGGAAAAAAAATAACAAAACATTTTCTCACTAAACTAAATTTTAATAATGTTTTTATGTTGCTGAAACTCTAACAAACTTGTCTAATTTTTAAATACTCTTTGCTACTTTAAGCTTTTAGCTAATTCTGCAAATTTCAAGGGTTTGGTCTAGGAGGACCACCAATGATGGCCTTCCTCGCAGGTGAATGGCCCGTTTAACATCCTGTCTTTTAGGTTCTTTTTTTTTCTCAGTTGATCCCCAGAAGTCAAGACTCAACCACCAAGGGTGTAATCAGTATCTCAGAAGTGAGGGGGACAAATTTGTCAGAGGTTTTTGAGTGATTTATCATCCTCTCACATTCAGTTGCACCTCTCCTTAGTGGCTAAAAACACAATCAGCAACAACTACAGTACAYCAGCAGGAGACCGACTATAGTTCTTTAAATTACAGTATTTACCAACAAAATCTAAAGTTCTAGCTGCCAGACTTTGATTGAGTTGAGACAATTACCCTCCAACATCTACAGGGTAAGTAGCCAGATCCTTTTGTGCCAAAAGGCTGTAAAATATATTTCCTGTAAACAAATTATTACTTTGCACACATAATGGAAGTGGCATGGTAGCTTTTTAGTGACATAACATTTTAGTCAAATGTGGTAACACAAATGTGCAAAATCAAGCTAAAGAAAACTGACATGACGCATACCTGCTGCCTTTAAGAACACAAATAATGTAAGAGTCAAATATTTTAAAAAATAACAAATAATAAAAATAAATAAATAAATCTAATTTACAATAATTTAAATGACTATTTAAAACTAAACCGCTTCTTAGTATAATCGTTGGCATGAATGAAGGACACTCTGTGGGTTTCATGTTGTGTGAGCGGAAGTCTCAAAAGTAACAACTTGAAACAAACGACACCAGAGAGTGAGTTGAAGCAGAATGAGCTTTTAGACAGAACAACTGCTGAAGAAGAGTGGAGGTCAGAAGGAAAAACCTGTATTTGTTTTATACTACATTCATGATTTAACTTTGACACCAGTTTCAGCTTCTCTGATACATTTCACCAAATGTAATATCACTCCGCACTTCCTCTGCATTAAAAAAGTATAGAAATTCAGTTTACAATTTTACTTGAACTTCCACCAGGTCTTTTTTTGCCTTTAATTGTATTTATTTGGAAGTCTCTGTGATGAACTTGTGACTTGACCATGGTGTCTTCTGCCTCTCGCACAATGACTGCTGGAGTTAAACACCAACTATCCTGATGGATGGATGGATGGATGAATGGATGGATGAATGTTGTAATTTTTCTCAAAAGTTCAGAACAGAGAAACGCGAGAAGTCAAAGGAAAATAAAGACTTTTAATCAACCAAACACAGGGCTGTCATGGCAACAGTATTTACCAAAAATGATAGCAGGAAAAAAACAGCAAGGAGCAACATGAGCAGCCAGGAAAGCTAAATGCACTGACAGGGAACAGGTTAAAAGATAGACTATAAAGGGACACTGAGCAGCAGACAATGAGAAACATCTGGAGAGAGACACCAGGATCAGGTGAGTGTGGGCGGGGCCGGAGCAGTGACAGACAGGAGAAACTGAAAACACAAGGAACAGAATCACACACAACTAAAAAAAAGGAACTAATTAATAAACTGAAGGAAGTAATAAACTAAGTGAACAACACACAAGTAGCAGATGACTTGGTGGCTTTTGGCCTTCTGGAGGATTACATAAGACTTGTCCTTAATCCAGCTGTGGTTATGTAGCCCAGAGACTTCAAACAGCTGAAAGAAACCATGTGACAGACGACTGGGATTAAATATGGCCACTGTTTACCCAACTGGAGCTGTGTGACAGGGTAATGAGAATTTCAGTATTGGGGGTTAGTCGTGTGTCGCCTGGGAGGATTTCCAATGAAAGACTCTCTTTTTTCTTTATCTGCTTTAATGTATTCAGTTTATTAAAAGCAATGTGAGGAATTCTGTCTCCACCAGACTTTGTCTTATATAATATGAGCCATTGTTCTGGTGTCACCTGCACAGCCTGCCTGAAACACTCAGTGTTGGCCAGAATGTTAATGTTAATTCTGCTACAGCTGATTTAGCACTCTTCTTGTTAGTAGCATTGAATGCTCAAAACATACAGGAGGGACCCCCGAGGGTCTTTGCTCCTGCCAATTTCTTTAGCTGTGTTGTTTCAGCTTAGCAACGAGGAGCAGAAGCTCAGATTTACAAAATGTGTCAACTATTTATGAGAGCTTCTGCATGAATAATCCTGGAAAACCAGCTGATTTGAGCCTTCAGACACAAAGTGTTGATTAAAGTTTCCATAAAGGACCAAATTTAGCCTTCAGGCCTTTCCTTATTGTCTACACATCATCRACTGACACCAAATGTTAGCTTTAATGTCTGTAAAACTGAGTTAGAACCAGTTTTCTGTTCAGATTGTGTGATTCAACACAATCTGCTGTTCTTTAGATTGTTTTTGTTGTACAGAGACCTGAGACATTTGTTGTGACATGGTGCTGTTTGAATAAACCAAACTGAATTGAATGAACATTTTGTCCAACACTGAAGACATTTACACTGAAAATGTAAAAGTCTACTGGAAGCCTCTTTCAGACATATTCATGGCATAAAGCTAATGATTGGATTGAATATATTACCTTATTTTCCTATATTTATTCCTTATTTCTTTTTCCTTAGTTAGTTAATCTTTACAAAATTTCACAAGTCAACATGAGTTGTCTAAAACATTATGAAAAAGGACTGATCTGAATGTTTTCAGGAGTTACTGGAGTCTGGGATAGATCATCCAATACGTGATGTAAAAAAATTACAAATAACAGCTGATTAGCTTTTCCTCGTTTCCTCAGGGTTGATGGTGCGAGAGGTGATGATCAACGTGTCCCGGCAGCAGGTGGAGGACTTCCATGGACCTGAGGACTTCTGGTGTCTGTGTGTGGCCTGGAGCCACCTTGGCACCTCCAAGAGTCGGAAAGCAATCGTCCGCATCGCCTGTGAGTGTGGAATCATACTTCCTGTCTCACTCTGACACGCCCAGCTCGCAAAAGTCTTAWACTAAGGGGTTAAAAACCAGAAATGATAAAAATATGAAATGTGAGAGTCAAATAAGGCTGCTCGGGTGTTTATCAGGTCTTTAAAACATTCATGTAAAACAAAAAGTTAAAGAAAGATAATCATTAAAGTTATTGAGACTAGAGCCTGAAAGTGTGACTCACAGAGCTGTTAATCATACTGTATTTTATTACAGGTGTGTGATGCTTGTTTATTAGAAACATTAACTTCAGCAAATGTTTTCTTTTTTGTTCCGATAAACATGAAACAGCCTGATGTCTGGTTGACTAATGAATACTAAATTTAATCAAAACTATGTTCTAATTAAATTAACATCAAGGTCTTCCTTTAAATCTTTAGTTTAAAACCAGCCTGTAAAAGCCCAGTGGGCAGGTGTTATCTCAGCTTTATTAGATTTATCAATGATGAAACAGTCAATTCTCACGTTCTAAAGCCGTCTAATCAAGTCAGAGCCAATCATCAATCCACAGCCACAGTCCAGAACCAATACTGCTGCTGTAGGATGTTAGAGATTATCTGAAAGGCTTCTTTATTGAATGTTTTGTGTTTTACTCACTGGAAACAAGAAAAAAAAAGCATTAGGGATCAAGAGGACAAACAATAAAAAGGCTAAGTTTTTATCTGCCACATTTTATTTTGCTTGAAGTGAAATTTTAGCTGCAGCATCTTTTATTTTGTTTGTAAGGAAGCTTCATGGTGCACAAACAGCACACTTCAGGAATTCAGATAAATACATGTTTTAAAGGTTTTTAGTGTATAAAAAAGAAAAAAATTGTATAGGTCTTCTGGATGGGTTCTTCTCTAATGAAACGTTTCGTCTCTCDTCCAAGAGACTTCTTCAATCTGAGAGTTTCAGGCAAAATTCAGGCTTTTGAGCCCTGCCTCCATGTGACTGATACTCACATCACATGGCTATCGTTGACACCCAATTAACACTTATTGTTAACAGGGGGTGGAGTGATACTGGCAATAACAGCGCTGTAGGAGGGGGACAACTGAAAACGGAGGCCTCCACCTCTGTTTAATGATGGATGGTCTTTCTTCACAAAAATGGCTTCTTTTACTCCTCTCTCAAACCAACGTTCCTCTCTATCAAGAATGAGAACATCCTCATCTCTGAAAGAGTGACCGCTGGCCTGTAAATGAGTGAAAACTGCAGAGTTCTGGCCATTAGATGTAGCTCGTCTGTGTTGGGACATTCTTTTGAACAGTGGCTGCTTTGTTTCCCCGATGCTCTGTACCACAGAGCAGACAGTGTCCCTACAAACCCAGGAGCCAGGCAGAAAGAGAAATCACACACACGACAGGCCCTGGAGCAGTGTGGTTATCCTGACTGGGCTTTCCTGAAAGCAGACAGGAAACACAGACAGGARTCCATGCAACCTTCAGGTGAAAATGAAGACCCCAAACCCAGACCCAAACCAGTGGTCATTCCGTATGTTGCGGGTGTTTCGGAGAAACTGAGACGTTTATTTTCTAAACATGATGTCCCAGTGGCTTTCAAACCCCAAAACACATTACGACAAAGGCTGGTTCACCCCAAAGATCCGGTGCCCCGGCACAAACAGAGCAATGTTGTATATGCTGTTAAGTGCCAGGAGGACTGCGACCAGTTATACATCGGGGAAACAAAGCAGCCACTGTTCAAAAGAATGTCCCAACACAGACGAGCTACATCTAATGGCCAGAACTCTGCAGTTTTCACTCATTTACAGGCCAGCGGTCACTCTTTCAGAGATGAGGATGTTCTCATTCTTGATAGAGAGGAAAGTTGGTTTGAGAGAGGAGTAAAAGAAGCCATTTTTGTGAAGAAAGACCGTCCATCATTAAACAGAGGTGGAGGCCTCCGTTTTCAGCTGTCCCCCTCCTACAGCGCTGCCATTGGCAATATCACTCCACCCCCTGTTAACAATAAGTGTTAAGTAGGTGTCAACGATAGCCATGTGATGTGAGTATCAGTCACATGGAGGCAGGACTCAAAATTCTGAATTTTGCCTGAAACTCTCAGACTGAAGAAGTCTCTTGGAGGAGAGACGAAACGTTTCATTAGAGAAGAACCCGTCCAGAAGACCTATACAATTTTTTTCTTTTTGATTTTTTACCTGGATTACTGAGATGCATCAGGACTTTTTAGTGTATAGTTGTAGTTCTGTCAACAGCAGGTTTGTAAATAAAGTAGAAAGGATGATCAGATGACRTTTTGAACAGATCAACCAGCAAAGCGACATTAGATCCAGTCCTGCATTCACTGTGGTGTGTTTTCCTCATCGCAACCTACAGACAAGTGTTTGTGTCTGAAGGAGGTTGAGTGGAGCGTTATGCCTCACAATGCTCTCTTATCTCTACACAGACCTGAGGAAAAACTTTGAGCAGGATCCCCAAGGAAAGGAGGTGCCAATAAACGGGATGATCGTTCTGCACTGTCGCCCCCCGGAGGGAGTGCCGCCGGCGGAGGTGAGCTCCTCAGTTCCTCCCCTCCTGAAACAAGAGAAGCTTTCCCCTCAGTGAGCAGGAGAAATCTGCATCCTGATTCGCTGAGTGGAACTGTTTACCTCTCTGAGTCCATTCAGCTCCCTGACCTTTAGCAGCATGAAACAGCTTGTTTAGGCATCAGCAAAAAGTTCACGTCAATAATTAGAAATGAAGGTTTTGTTTCCAAAGAGAGGTGAGGAGGACTCGGCATAAATATTTATTGACTCTTCCTTCCACAGATGTAGAGATCAGACACATGAGACAGTCTCAGATGATGATTCTCAGCACCTTCAGACTGGAGTCTCCTGAGTTCAGCATGGCCTTAAACAGAGCTTTGAAAAGGGGGCTTTGTTTCATCACTGAGTGTGTTCATCTGTGAGAATAATCCAGAGTTTGAGCTGAAGTGGACCGTGACAGATTTATTTTGTGACYGACGTCTGTTTCGTATCAAACAAAACAAACTGAATTAACTCATTTTAGTGAACATAGTTGAGTTTTTTCTGAATGAATCGAGCACAGAACACGCATCAGTCCTGGACTGAGCTGTCTAATGAAGGAGGCTCTTGAATTGCACAGGGACGTGGGAAACTAGGAGCCTGTCTGGCAACTTTGGATGGTGACATTTGATCACCATCACCCAAGAAACAAACCCTTCACCAGAATATTTTAGTGCCGTTTACAAATTTAAAAACCCGGCTGTATTAATAACATACATGAAATTGTCTGTTTTTACCTAAATTGCATCACTTTTATGAACAGTGTGGTTTTAAAATGTTTATATTGTGCTACATGGACCATTCCTAAACATTTGTTCAATTTGACTTATTTGTTCAGGATTAAACTGCAGATTATTGTTTACTTTTCTGCAGTTTCATTCAGAGACAGATTTGTTCTGAAAACAAAATAAATAAATAAATCTACAAGAAGTGATAAAGAGGTCGATCCGGACCGTGCGCATGTTCGGCCGACACAGTTATTGACCCATTTCTAAAGTTTCTCTAAACTCAGCCCACTATAGATCATGATGAAAAGGCCAGTTATGCATCAGTGAGACACGTCTAAGTTTCCAAACTGTCTCAGCCACGCCTTTTGGCTGCTACATGAATATTTAAAATATGTGTTGTTTGTGTTTGTGTTTGTGTAGCCATAAACTGCATTTGTGAAACCTTCATCATGATGTAACTTCCTCAGTGGGAACAGGAAAAGTGARATCAGCTGCTCAGCTCTGCGTTGGTACTTCAGATATTAAACATCCTGCAGTTTCCCCTGAACATCGTTTTGAGCAAAGTTAAAGCACTGGTTTAACATTCAGAGTTTAAGAATGAAAACTAAGAAGATTTTGGTGCAGATTTTTTTTTTCAGAATGCTTCCACAGTCTCCCTCCATGAGTTCTGGGCCATCTGGGAAGCCTTATGGCTCACATACTGAAATGCCAGTTTACAAAAACTGTGAGTACTCGTAGTAATGACATCCCTTCTGGTGCACAAGGACTCCATGCTGTTAACTGAGCTTTAAGCAACAACTAGAGACCTTCCATATTAACTCAGTGTAGAGCAGCACATTAACTGGAGGCAGTAGATAGTGACAATATGTGTATTAAAATGATTTAAAATTAGGTTCCTATTGAAGCACACAGATTTATATCAGGAAAAACTATAGGTTTGATGAAATCACCCCCCCCCCTTGAGCAAAATAACCTAGTATGTTATAGTACCATTTATTTGTTTTAATTAAAACAGAAAAGTTATTTAGCATTACTTTTACTGCCATAATAATTTCGCATATTGTCTAATAATAAATATATTATAGGTATCATAACTCTTATTTAATAATTTCATTTCAATACACAGATTTAAATAAAGTGCCTGAAAGATGTTGACACTTTTATTTATGATCAGTGTTAGGAAAATACGCTGAAATATTATTTTCTTTGACATTAGGAACAAATTTAAAATGTAAAGTTGTTTAATTTCAGATGTTTACATTCACCTTCCTCCCCAATCAGGCTGAATTATTACTTCTGTGACTCAGTTAGGATTTTCTAAATTATTTATGTTGGTTCAAAACTTGAATGATGAGAGAATTATTTGTTTTCTTTAAGGTCACAAGCTTACATACACTAAAATTGTTCTGCCTTTAAATAAACTTGGAAAACCTGGATGATGATGTCATGACTTTGGACACTTTTGATTGGTTAGTTGACAACYTCTGAAGGAATTGGAACTCTTTCTACGACATGATGGACAACAATCAGCCAAGAAGAGGATTGTTGAACGTCATCTGAAGGTTCATCTGTTCAAACAAATATAAACACCAAGAACGTCCTGCCATCAAACTGCTGAGGAAGGAGATGGGTTCTGAGTTCAAAGATGAATTTGTTTTGGTGGGAAAATGTGTGGATGAACCCCCAAAACAAGAACAGATGGACACTTGAAGCATGGAGGTGGCAGCATCGTGATGTGGGCTGATTTGCTGCAGGAGCTGCTGAAATTCACATCATGAAGAAAGAACAARATGTATAAATATTGAAGTAACATCTAAAGACATCATCAGGAAGTTAAATRTTGAACACAGAGGGGTCTTCAAATGAACACAGACCCTCAGCAGACRGACAGWTTTGTTACAAAATGGATAAAGAACAACAAAGTCTAACGTTTTGAAGGAGCCATCATAAAATCCTGACCTGAAAACTTGTAAGCAGAGCTAAAAGGTCYGTATGAGCAACAAGATCTACAGTCCTATCAGATCCACCAGTTCTGGAACAAAACACTAAACTTTAGACTCCAGTCAGACAGTTTATATCAAGGAAACCAAACACTGAGAAAATGGATTTAATTTTCTGACTTTGAAGAAAAGATATTCTCTCATCAATTAGTCATTTAACAAATATATTAATTTTGAAAATCATGACCTAAAACACAAAAGGTTTGATCTGATTTAGTGTCAGACATTAAGAAGAAACAGTTCTATGTTTTTGTACGGTGTATGTAACCATCTGGTTTCAAATATATTTATTTAWAATTTGAAAGTACTTGTACCTATAATACTTCTCTGCTGTTTGCTTGTTATAAAGTAACAGTGAGAGTCTAACAAACTGATGCCAGTAGTTAATTAGGCTACTAGCTTCTGTCAGGTAGCTGTAGATATGGCACTGCTAACACGCTAACGCGCGTGCTGCAAATGTTTTCACCTTCAGCTTTTGTCTATGGCTAAATGACAGGTAGAGGAGGGGGAGGGAGGAGCGCTGCTTGGAGTGCCCAAAGACTTAATTTATAGATCTGGAACTGGACCAGGTTCCGTCAACTCTTTTCAGTACAAACTTTAAGCCCCGCCTAAGCCCCGCCCCTCCAGGTAAACAAACAGGTCATTGGCCTTTTTACAAAACAAAAGAACACCTTGGATGTTTTTGACTCTTGATGATTAATGTAGTCCATACACTGCTACTGTATGTTCATATTTTCTAACACATTTATCTGTAATTATTAATTTTACACTTCAGTACATCTCWTGTGACATCCTGACTGTGAAGAAGTTCATACCATTACCCATAACTGTATCAGTAAGAGCTCATTCCTCTTTAAATCCTTTTTAATGTAACATTTGTATCCAGAGAGCATCAGGAAGAGTAATGGATGTTTTAATGTTGTGTGCAGGAAAGAGCTTTAGTTAGAGGTCAATCTGAGGCCCTTCACTCTATAAATGATCCAACATGAAAATGGAGGATTGATGTCACAGCAGTGCACCACAGCCCACAAAGAGGGTAAAAATAGCCAAATCACAATCATCCATCTAGTCCTTTTGTCAACACAAATGAGCCGAGCCCCACGAGACGGCAGTGAATAATGTAAAGAGCACGGGGCAGAGCTGCTCAGCCCGGTCCGTTTCAGCACACCTCCTTCATGAAATATTAAGATGGCATCTAGACGTGTGCTGCGATGAGGTTTCAGAGTGCAGCCGTGGGACGGCTGCTGCTGTAGCACCAAAATGCAAGCACAATAGAATATGAGCCTGTGATTTGGGCATGGTGTGTGTGTGTGGGGGG